CAGTCTTGTGCACAGCACATGTGGGAAATACCTACTCTGTCTGTCCTCTTTACCCATTTGCCTTGTTCCACTAACAAGGAAGAAAGATTGGAGGAAAGGAGAGGTGGGTAGGAAAACAAGATAGGTATTTCTGGTTTTACTGATCACAGGATAATGTATTCATTCTTTCTTGAACATGACAGTACAGAACTAACAGGAAAGATGTGACTGTATTCTCCTCCTGGTGCTGAAAAGGACTCCGCGTGTCTTCCCCAGTTGCTTCGTTTCCTCCTCTAAGGTTTAGCAGATTTACTCTGAGCAGCGTCCTCTCTCCACTGAGCTTTCTTCTCCAGGTTTATGCTTGCGAGAGATTCGTGCCTTTTTACAGCCTGCAACATAATGGCAGAGGAAAAGCAGAAGGTGTCACCAAAAGGGCCACAGAAACGAAGCTCAAATCGATAGTTTACAAAGTACTTGCCCTATCCTTACCCAGGCACAGTTCTGTCAGCTCGAATGCCAGGAAGGTAGAGGGTTAAAACAAAACAGCCACAGACTATTTTGGCTTAAACTCATTACTTCTCTGGGAATAAATCAAACCCTCGTGTTAAGGCACTAGAAGATACATTCTGTGCTTCTGGTCAGTATTTAGTACCCATCTCTGGTCTTCAGAGGTGCTGGAAACAAAAGTTAAAATGTAAAGAGTCCAGCCACTGTGAACACAAGGGTCCCAAGGCAGCTGCCCTCCTCCTTCCAGCATCTGCGTTCTTACTATTCCAACGTAAGGGGGAGATGTTCTGGGAATGGTCAGTGTTTGAGCTCTTCTGTTAAAGCCAGGAAACCCACTTTCCACTGCTGTGTTTCGGAGCGCTGCACTCTTTTCATTCTGCTGGGGGAATGGTGACGGGGGGAACTGTCGCTTCACACGTCAGCGTGCTGGCGTCGGGACTGTTACTAGTGCTAAGGGCCCCCTGGAACACAGTAGCCTACGGAAACGAGATGAATGCAGCAGTCAGAACTGCTTCAGGGAAAGGCAGCGTGCAGCTGAGGTTCTGCCCAGGCAGGTGCTTTAAGCTCGGGGGTTTCTGCTTCCAAGTCATCCTGAAAGAACGTAGCAGACTGGGTCTCTGTTACCACCGCATGCCTTGACTTTAATGCTACTGAGAGGCTTTAGCCTGGCTTCAGCACACAAAAAGGGCTCCCTGCCTCTTTACAGAAACACCGGAGAGTTAACAGTTCAAAAGGGCTCCCTGCTTCTTTACAGAAACACCGGAGAGTTAACAGTTCACCAGCTGTGTTAAAAAACCACGTGCAATGAAGACTGACCTCTGCTGCGCTTGGAATCTTAAACTGCACGCTTACCGTCTTCCTACGGCGCAAATGAAATCACAGACCTAGTTCTGCCACGTGCCTTGCCAGAGTCTGCAGGAGCTTTTCCGTAAACCCCTTTTTCGATTCCACAGGCAGTAACAATTGGAGAAAAGCTGCTCCTCCGGCGCGAAGGGAAGAGTGCTTTTCTGATGCCGTTAGCGAGCAGAGTTATTGCTGACCCGTCTCGCTGCGGACAGACTCTGCAGAAGGCTGAAGTCCTTTGTGGAGAAACATGCTCGTTTGCTCTTTCCACTTTACTGGTTCTGTGAGAGTTGCAGGGTGCAGAAAGGTATCTGCAGGAGGTCCGTGCAGTGACCTGAGTGGACCCCGTGGCCCACGGAGCATTTCCCTGCCTACCGGAGCCACGGAGGAGAAGGTGCTCTTCCCTTCTGAACTCTCTCAGCCCATCAGCGAAATTAAAGAGTTAAACCAGCACAATTAAGTATTGCACTGAGACAAAAAAAGCCTTTTTTTCCCCTCTTAAAGGAAGCACGTGTGGTCTAACAGCGACACCACCCTTTTCTGACTCGGGAGTTAATCAACGAGGGTCACTTCTGGGGAACGAGGGGGACTTACTTCTAACTAAGTGATTGAACGAAGAAGAAAAACCCCAAAACAAGACAGCACTAACAATCCAGAGGTGGAACTAAGGACTTTCTGTGATGACCGATTTGTACTCGCCAGCGGGAAACCTGCGCTTACCTGCTTCCCTTTAACCACCATGACTATGCACCCCAGTATCGTCAGGACGATCATGACATAGCTGGCCCTCACACGCAGCGTCGTCTTTGCCGCTCTGATTGCTTCGATCCTCGAGAAATAATAAAAGAAACAGGCTCATTAGCACAGACCCAAATCAATCGTTTGGCTACTCGTTTGACGTGGCCTGGCACGCCATCGGCGTCGCCTTGTATAACCCTCACCGCGCTGGGCTCTTGCCACGACAAGGTCTGACGAGAGCGGGGAAGGCCGATCCCCAGCTACCTCGGGAGGTTGGCGCTCACGAAGGAGTTCCTCTCAAGGCTGGAAACACGCCTGATAGCTTTAACTTTTGGTTATTTAATTGTTAAGAGACAATGCTGCCTTTACAGCTGGCATTTCCTGGGAAGCGTTACCACAGCGCATCAATCCTTTCTGCCTGAACTGCAGAGTGGTTGAATTTATGGCAGGGTTTTGTTTTCCAGCAGGCCTTGTTTTCCACCAGGTCTTGTTTTCCAGGCTTCCTCAGCTACAGGGTTTGGAAAGGCTATGGATTACAGACTGGCTGCCGGATGGAATACTCCTGAGAAATTCTAAACAGCTTGGTAAGAGACCAGTGGTTACCAATTCCCTCCTGCAAGAGCTGTAACCTGTTAGAAACTAAGGAGGCACGGAGGATTGTCAACTTTCCACCGCCACCTGTGGACAGAGGACTCCTCTTTTTATTTAATTCAGGGCCTTATCTAGCCACACCAGTAGCTCTACCACTCCTCTGGGAAACCTGTTGCCTAGTCCACCGTTATCTCATAAAACCCAGAAATCTTCCACAAGAGAAGTACAGCAGGAAGGCTTTAACCACCGATACACGCGTTGAGTTAAAACTAAACGGCGTGTATTTGAAGTGGGGTCAAACGGGGAAGGTGCTTCTGCCAAACATCTCGGTAACAGCCAACTTGACGCCCGTGCTGGAGACACCAACGCGAGAAGGGCCGACGAAGCACCGCGCTTCTAGATCTGCCTTCCACAGTAACCCAAGACCTGGGCCTTCTGCAGCTCGCTCCCTTCTCAAGGGAGATCTAACGGTCTGGCTGGTTACGTTGGGCCTGTTATAAAGTTACAGACTGGATGACTAGAAAGCATCATGGGATGAAAGAACAAATGCATGAACAAATGCATCAAACTAGGTAATTTCACCTCAAAACTAACACGGAGAGTGGATTTAATGGAACTGGGAAGTTATCACTGTACACAAACACGAATTCACGTGGAATCTTTTACCACTTTTTGACCCTTATACGTGAAGGAAAAAAGATCATGAAGGATCCGTGACAGTGCGAGGTGGTAAATCACACAGGACCTGAGAAATGAGGAGAGTTTTGGTCTTGTTTTCGAAGGGGAGGGCAAGACTGATTCGACTGCTGTTTCAGAGTACTGATCTGAGTAGATTTCTAATGATACGGAACGCGTCCATCTACCGGGACGCTAATAACCAGATTCAGCTTCCAGGTTGTTTGGTTTTGCTAATAACCACTGGGTGCAGGCTGCCATTAAGCTGAGATACACAGAAGTAGGATTTTAAAACTTTATTAGTTGAGTTCTTAAGTACCTTGGATGTGTTGGAATATGCCAGGTTGAACACGATTTGCATCAGTTCAGTGGCTAAGACTAACGTGTGTTTAATAAAGGAGTTACTTCTGATCACCGCATCTTGCAAGTCTGCTGACTTCTACCGTGAGCCCTTACAGCCCGCCCCGAATTCAGCTTAGAACAGGAAAACAAGCTTTGAGAACCGTGAAAGCCCAAATCAGCTCCTCAGCTTCGGCTGAACTGTTTGCCGAAGTAAAACCCAGCGTTCCCTCTGCACTTGCAAAAGCTTTACGAGAAGTTGGTTTGTCCTTTGAATACACCACTGAAACGCCTTCAGTCACACTGCTAACTCCGCTTCCTTAAAAACACGGGGGTTTGGCAGGCAAAAATACGTGAACTGGCATAATTTACGTTGTAATACTTCACGCCTTTATGTATTCCAAATGGAACGTTAAGAAAAAGTACTCGATACAAAACTGAAGGACTCGTTTTAACAATACTTATCCATTATGACACATTTAGAAACACTTAGATACGTGGGAGGATTTTTGTTTCCCATGCTGTGCATCCCGAGGGCAGCTACACAGTTTGCTTACACAGACAGTGTAAGATTTATTCCATCTTTGAAATTTAAATAAATACATACATTTAAAAGCATTACAAGCATATTTTTAAAGATACCTGCACCACCACCAGGAATGGTTTTTAAGCTAATAATTGCCTTCTGTTGCTGTCAAGTTCACTCTTCCTTTCAGACAGGCAGTTTTACTTTCTGCTTTTCCCACAGGGCAAAGCACTAACATGTGGACTCCACCAGCAACGGGTGAATTTTGCCTCTATGTATTTTTTGTTAGGGAGCCTTCCCACTGCTGGTTAGTTTAAATTCCAAGAGTAAAGAAAGTTGGCTCATGCCCTCCAGACATTCACCAGTAAATATTTCAAATGATTCAGTAATTTTATAGCTATATCATGAAAGTTTCACACAACAGGAGACTGACATATAAACTGCAGAAAAAGCTCACACTAATATCTGCAGCAAGCTTTTTTGATTGAGAAAGAAGAGTAAGCATGAGCTGATTTGTGATGTTTATCGAATGGAGTAACTGACAGCTGCTGGTCATCCCTTCAGACAAAAATCAAAAGGGATCTATTATCTCAGCAACACAGAATTGCTCAGGTCATCAAGGGTTGGAAGGGCCCTTACAGCCCATCTAGTTCCACCCCCCCTGCCGTGGGCAGGGACACCTTCCACTAGACCAGGTTGCTCCAAGGCTCACCCAGCCTGGCCTTGGACACTTCCAGGGATGGGGCATCCACAGCTTCTCTGGGCAACCTGTCCCAGTGCCTCCCCACCCCGGAGCTGCGCCCAAGTAACTTACTCCTGCGCAGACAAGGTCTCTTTTACAGCTTCAGAACTGGCACTTACGAGACAGTCTCTGGTATATCCTCTGGTTTTTTGAAATGGCCTGCCCACAACAAAAATCTTTTCTCCCAGTCTGTGGGCTTGTATCCAGGCACCCTTAAAGGAGACCGACCTAAAAAAACCAAAACACACACACACAAACACCAAAACCAACAGTCAGAGAAGATTAATTACTACAAGCGTCGTGAAACCAGTTAGGGTGAGCTGCGCAGAATTTTAAGTACGACTTCTAGAGCTGCTTAGGGAACACAACGTGTATCACGGCCAGACTAACAAACCTGTAAATAAGGATTAAACTGAGGCCACGTAAGAAAAGCCAGATCTTGCCCCCAATCTCTACATTTGTAGCTCTAAATTTACAGAACCTGCTCCAGCATCTAAACTTCCTAGGCTGCTGGGATATTATAGCTTCCCTATTGTGTTTAAATTCATTTTAAACCCAAAATAAATCAAGTGAAACTGCTACAAACAGCCAATATGCCGCACCATCGCATGACAGAATGTTTACTTTTCCAGGGGGTGTTTTTTATCTTACCTGGAGGTATAAGCAGATGACCATAGGCAAAGGTTAGACCCTTAATTTTCAGCTCAGTCTTTCAAGCTCCGTGTAAAAAAGCACCCAGAACGCAACACGGGAAGGTTTCCCTATGTAACACACCTTGAAAACCTACCAAACAAAGCGCACGGATAGACAGCTCTCCCACCCTCCTGAAAAAAAAACCCCAAACCCCACAGAATGCCAACCCAACAATGGGAGGTATCCCGTACGGCTGTGCGCTGCCTCGTGAATTCGGGAATTGCCTAGGAAGCGGGGTTTGCTGACAACACTAAGCTATTCAGAAACATAAAGAGGGCTGAGCGCCAAAAGCCACAGGGCTCCAGAACCAACAAGGTGGCCAGTGAAGCCCCACGTACATAAACAGGAGGCAACTCCAGTTCACGTGCACAAGACGGACGGTTCTCACCGAGGAATGAGTCCTCGGGGCGTCACGGAGTTTTTGGCATGTTCAGTAACGGTCAAACAGGGCAACAGCACCACCAGCAACACGGGCCAACACAAAAGCCTCGTTATACCATGGCGTAAAACCACAACTGGCACTTTGAAACACACGTGAAGTACCGATCTCTCAGAAACAATCGGAACGGGTACAGGGAAAATCGGGAAGGATGACCACGGGCGTGGAACGGCCGCCAGGTAAGAAGCAGCATCATAGACCTCTGGCCAGGACAAGGCAGTCGTTGAAGCTCCCTTCAGCACAACGCAGAATCAGTGCTGTCGGGAGCGGGGGTTACAATCAGCAGGTCCTGTTTTGGCAGGCTGACTGAAGAAAGGAACACCAGACCCAAACCAGGACGCACCGGTTTCAAACGGTTTTCTCACAGCACGGCTCAGCTGAGGAATTCCTTCCCAGAGGATGCGAATGCTAAAGGTACACCCAGCTTCAAGAGCCTGGGCAAACTCGTGAAAGAGATCCGTCGAGGACTGTTAAACACGAAGATGCCACCCCTGGGACGGCAGCCTAGGGGAGAAACACTGCGTTTGAGCCGTTCCTGTCCTCTTCCTCAAATCCTTGCTATTGGTCCCCATTCCTATCAGTCCTCACAAAAAATGTGAGGAACCTCCTTTACCGGCCACTGCTGGCGACATGCCGCTGCTGAGGAGACCTCTGGCCTCACCCAGTACAGCTCCCTGATGTAACACAGAAGCATGCAAAACGCTTCACATCCGTATGCTCCTTCCACCTAGCATCAGCAGGCCAAGAAGGGAGCCCGTTACACGGGAATTCTCATCGGAGCACCGTAACCGTCTGATATATAGTGAAGAAAACGTCTCACGGCCCGAGCTTTACCTGCCCAACCCCACACTTAAACATGAACTGATGGTTCAGACCGACGCTCTCCTGCGGAGCACGTTCGGTTTTGTCAACAGCTACAGCTGGTTGTACTACGGAAAGCTGCAGGAGCGCTTTAGCCCCGTACCACGTTCCTAAACTCCGGTGGTTTACACCAGGGCTGAACGATTGGAGCTAGAGCACGGCTGAAGAGCCCCAGCACACATCGGATACGGCGCTCGTGACCTGCTACAAGCTGTGTGTTACTGGCACAAGAAGAAATGCCGACCCCTGGCTTTGTTCCACGTCAGGATCTGATGGCTAACCTGAATGCTCGGTTTTTCAGCCTAAAGAACCGAGTGCCCTCTCACAAAGTCATAGATATTAGCATCCGTATCGGGCAAAATCTCGGTCAGGTGACTGCAGCCTGGATATCTCAATATTTCATGGCAAGTTCTTTATCAGAAACTCTTACTTTTTGGCTGAAGTTTACTTTCTTCCTGGGGTTTAATGCAAAGCCTTCGGCTTATCTTTGGATCCACTCCTTCAGTCCTCCTCAGAATTGATGGGATGGTTCTTCCCAGCAGTTTAACAGCTCTGTCTGGAAGAGAAAGCAGAGGAAGCAAAGGGGACAAATCTAACTCGGAATAGCAGAAAGTGAGAATGCTAACTTTAAGGAAAAAAACCCACCAAAACCCACTCCTATTTAAACGCATGAGAAAAAAAAGAAATACAAACAATTGGCCCAAACCTAATATTATGCCAGAAACACCACATTGAGGGTGTAACAGAGCCTGCTGAAGAAATTCAAGCTTGTCTGTAAGCTATGACTTCAGCTTGCTTATTAGAAAAAATGGGAACGCCAGGCTACAGCCTACAAGCGACTTCTAAAGCGCAACGCCCGCCGCAGTTTCAGGGAACCTGCCTATTCGTACGCTTTCGCTTGGGAAGGTGCTATCCCACCCGCATTTCACCAAGCTTCTCCTGTCCCAGAAGCAAGTCGCAAGCTTGGCAGAGTGGGGAGAAAAAGCCAAAAAAAGGAGAGTCTTGCTGTGCTGAGCTACTGCTTTCAGTGTACTGAATTTTTGGTGGACGAAAAACTGAACGTGAGCCGGCCGTGTGCGCTGGCAGCCCAGAAAGCCAACCGTATCCTGGGCTGTATCCAGAGCAGCGTGGCCAGCAGGGCGAGGGAGGGGATTCTGCCCCTCTGCTCTGCTCCTGTGAGCCCCCACCTGGAGTGCTGCGTCCAGCTCTGGGGGCACCAACATCAGAAGGATATCGACTGGTTGGAGCGAGTCCAGAGGAGGCCACGGAGATGCTCCGAGGGCTGGAGCCCCTCTGCCATGGGGACAGGCTGGGAGAGTTGGGGGTGTTCAGCCTGGAGAAGGGAAGGCTCCGGGGAGACCTTATAGCCCCTTCCAGTGCCTGAAGGGGCTACAAGGAAGCTGGGGGGGACTTTTTACAAGGGCCTGGAGTGACAGGACAAGGGGTAATGGGTTTAAATTGAAAGTGGGGAGGTTTAGATTGGATAGCAGGAAGAAATTCTTCCCGCAGAGGGTGGTGAGGCACTGGAACAGGTTGCCCAGAGAAGCTGTGGATGCCCCATCCCTGGAAGTGTCCAAGGCCAGGCTGGATGAGGCTTGGAGCAACCTGGTCTAGTGGAAGGTGTCCCTGCCCATGGCAGGGGGGTTGGAACTGGATGGTCTTTAAGGTCCCTTCCAACCCAAACCATTCTGTGATTCTATGATTCTATGGAAAAGGACAGGCACCCTAGAGATGAAAACATGCTCAAGAGAGACCTTCTAATCCATTAATTAATATAATGAAACATTTCAAAAGGCAAAAAAAGCCAGCTTTGAAAGGCAAAAGGGCACTTTTTAACAGGTAAATTGAGGTTTTTCTCCCTTCCTACTGGCTGCAAATGCCTCTCCGACACCAAACAGCCGCCCTCATCTTCTCGGCATAGCACACCCCAGCCCTGCAAAACCGGGATTCACCGTTCCAGGCGACCACCCCCAGGGAAACCAAACCCTGGCCAAGGTCGTTGGGGCGGTTACACGAAAGGCCCAAACCCGTCCCGGGAACCTTTTCAGGGCCGGCCCCGAGGCCTCATTAAGGCTCCGGACCCGCGCGCTCCGCGCCACCCGCAGCCGGGCCGGGGC